ACCACTACCACCACCACCACAACCAACAACAACAACAACAACAACAGCAGCAACAGCAACAGCAGCAACAGCAACAGCAACAGCAACAACAACAACAACGACAACAACAACCACAACAACAACAACAACACCTGCTGCTGATGCTGCCGCTGCTAGTGCTGCTGCTGCTGCTGCTGCTGCTGCTCCTACTACTACTACTACTACTACTACTACACTACTACTACACTACTACTACAACGACAACGACAACGACAACGACAACTACAACTGCAGCAGCAACAACCGCAGCTACAACATGTTCTCAGACCTACCGGGGGCAATGCAGGGAATCAGCTTAGCACAAAGGCACTGCTTGGACCCAAACCCCAAACGTACGTTTCCTGTGACACATCGGCCACATGCCAATTGTCGGAACAGAATGATGGCACCAGGCACATACATGAGGATTCTCAGTGCTTGGTTTCGCAAAATCTTTTTTACAGTGGTCCACATATAGATGTATACAACAGACTAAGGATCCTTATGCTTAGATGTTGATACCATTCAAGACAAGTCAGCATGAAGAAGGCCAAGAGACCATAGCAGGAGCAGTCGCCCTCACTGTCTGGTGTGCGGACGGCGGCAAAGGCAGGACATCTCGACTTCGCCGCTCCAATCGCGAGTGCTGTGGTTGTGGTCGTGGTTGTTGTTTCGATCTTTGTTTCACAGGTGCAGGTCTTGCACTGCGCAGTGAAGTACGCAGGGCTGTAGGTGTTTTTTGTGGCAGTGTATGAAAAGGGGCATCCCAGGCTCCCCTCGTAGAAGCACTGCTTTGACTGGGGGCATTTGCAGTCGCCATCCCTGTCAGGATGGGAAACCTGGACAGGGCTCTCGATGCTAAACACTCGTCCATGCTGGATGTTGAAGCATGTAAGTTCAGGAAGGATATGTGTCATGTCGTTGTTGACAATTTTGGGCAAGACTACTGGGCAAAGATTGTGAGGTTCTACATTCTACAGCTAACCCAAACCGATCAAGACACGCTGGCAAAGCTTGGGCAGCCGGAGCCATCCGGTCCGGCTGCCGGGCGGCTGTCTGACATCTGTGTGGCTGTGTCCTGGGAGGGGTTTGACGGGAGCTCCATGAAGTGAAGTCTACAGCAGAGTCTGCATTTTACATCCCATGACCAAAGCCCTACGTTTTAACTTTCCTGGATGTAGTAGCAGAAGTTGTCAGCGTTTTTCAGTGCTAGTGCAGGATCGGCCCGAGCAAGCTTCTGGCATGTAGATCGGCCATAGGCAGTGCCCCCCTCGAAATCCACGTCATCTGTGAAGGCCGTGGCATGGTGCGAGCCCTCATGGACCAACGTCTCGACCATTTCAGCGGGTCTCTGGAAGTAGAGGGGGCACAGATAGAAAACGTACTTCTTGCTGCGTCGCATGGTCGTGCATGGTCGTGATGCTTGCTTTCCTTCATTGCATGTGTAGGCCTGGGGGTAGACGTACGCGTACGTGTTCGGCTTGCACTTTGGCCCCGGATAGACGTACCTTTGGCCGGTCTTTGCAAGGGACATTAGCTTCTCCAACTTTCCCGGCATCAGCCGAGAAATCTAGTTAACGAGCCGAGAAAGAAGAAAAGAAAAGCACGACCAAAATCAAGGAATGGTCAGCAGTCCAGGCACACAACGTTGCTGATCATGTGGTCGACGGAATTCAAGACACGCAAGATCTCTTTCCGTGACCTTTCTATGCAGATGTAGTGGTTCCATGGGGCTTCTCATGACGGCTTCCAGCAGTGGGGCTTAGGAATTGTAAGCCCGGGGACGATTATGCTTTGCACAAGTCATGATGCTCCGACAGAACGAGACAAAAGAGGGGAGCGAGAGAGAGAGAGAGAGAGAGAGATAGAGAGAGAGCGGGAGAGAGCATGAGAGAGCCGCAAGTTCTATCCCTTGCATAGGCAGCGCATGCTGAACACCGGCGTGATTGTTGCACCTTCGTTTTGAATCTGATTGCTCTAAAGCCTTCCTGAAGAACCTCAAGCGGCCGCTCTAAGAACACAGCTTCCTTTCAGCCAGTGGCGGTTGGTCGGAGAAGGCCCGCGTGCCGAACCATCGGCTCATCTGCGCCTTTGGTACTCTCGAAGCTACGTCTAGGAGGGGGAGGGTACAGCGGCCGAGATGCACAATAGTGTCTGAAAATGAATGCCAGTAACGGAGCAGCTACGCCGCTATCAGACTATACTGATTAGTGCAACCGTTAACCGTAACCATGGTAAGAAGACGAGCTGTGGCAGCAGTGGTACTTAACAACCGTAACGGGCCTCGAATCCCAGGCTGGCGGATGATATATGAAGTACCATAGGGCTTTGCTTTAGGACCTTTAAGCAGAGCAACACCTACCTGAAGTTCTAATGTCCTCGAGCTGTAGGGCCCCAGATTGACTCAACACGAGCCGGTCACAACTCGGGGAAGAGGACCAGGAGTATAGCTTCTGCAGGCTTTGCAACTTGATCTTGTGCTGCTTCGTGTTGAAACCTTGTATCGGCACCGCGTTCCCAAAGCCATTTCTCGGATCCAAAATGCAATGCATCAGAACCGCATGCAAATGTTACCGTAGTTAGTTGCCGCACGTCCATCTTCTACGGCTGCTTTCTACATGAGCGCTCGCAACATAAAGTCGAAGCCTTACTGACCCTAAAGCCGGAGCTAAAGCCCGACCTGGGTTTGCCGGCCGCTGAAGGCTCGAATCACGATGCCCATGTATGCCTCACGGCTTTGCGCACAGAGTTGTGGGATTTTCGCCTAGGGTCCCAGGCTTCTCCATCATGCGCTGCAAAATCCCCTCAACCCGCTCTTAACCGATAATTCTGGATGTCGAAGGGGGCAGGAAGGTATTTCTGCAAACCGTGGTCGCACTTTGGTGCTCAGTTCTCATTCATTTCCTACGCTTCGGGTATGAGGCTCGAGGCACATTCAGTAATGCTTTTTGTAAGGCGCTCCCTGCTCGAGGTTGTCTTCGGCCTGTGCTGCTGTGAGGATGAAAAGAGTTAAACAACTCGAGACCAAGTTATCTGAAACCTCTATAGTGCCTTTCAGTGCTTGTCAAACTGCGAGGGCAAGGGTCTCATGAGGAAGAGTAGTTTCAAAGCTCTTTCTGCTCAGGCAACTGATAGAGGAATACGGCCGGGTGCAGGACAAGCGATCGTAGCTGGGAGTCCGAGGATGATGAATCTGCGCTCTTCGAAAAGCACTCTGTAAGGTTTGAACTCTCACAGCCGGCTGAACCCATAGCAGCAGAATTGCCAGCGATCCCTTTTGACCTCGAAGTCGCCCTCAAGACTTCTTGAGATCCAAAACCCCAAGGGCTCGTCGGTTTGCCCGAGTTTTTTTGTTTTAAATCTCTGCGCCTTTCATGAAACGATCAAAACACCCGCAAAGTCAAGTCTTAAATTGGGCCTAAATCGAAACACTGAACACTCAACGCCCCTCTCCACCGAGTGCCGACACCCAACTGGCCTTGGCAAGCTCCTCCTTCTGCTTGTTGAGCCTGGCCTGGCCGAAGCGGGGGGGGGGGGGGGGGTGCGACGCTCCCAGAAGGCAAATTACCCAGAGAGCTCAAATTACTTGTGTTTCTCTGTGGTACTTTCCCGGCCCCACGCTTGCACCGACAAAACCGTGCTCGTCTGCGTGAGTTCTGCCTTCGAACTTACAAAAACAAACAATCCCGACGTCCTCATGAACTTCAAATCGCAGAACACGACACCCCATTCCACACCGAAATATGACGGTCTTCACTCCCGATCACAGGAAGCTGCAAGGCTTTGCTTGGGAATACGTCGGTTTAGCACCACGGCCGATACTTTATCCGACGAAGCTTCCTTGCAAGCACTTTGGCCTGCGAGGGAGTCATGCCAGATGCTGTCTGCAGGAAGCCAGCCACGCCTCAGTACGTGTGGAACGGATGAATTGGAGCTGATGGGGCTCAAGATGTTGGCTGATTGTGTTTGATTTAGGGCATCGTTCATGCTCTCCGTTCTTCGGAAGATTGAAGAGCAGTCCCTGATGGCTTTTCCCTTCTCTTGCTGCCATCCTGACAGGTTTCAAGGATGTTGGGGCCCGGCTGTCCGGGTGACAGGAACCATGGCTTGGCACACGAACCGAGACATAAGGGAGGAGTAACGGTGTCGGACTACTTGAAAGGTGTTGGTGTTCTTCTTCTGCATCAAGATCCTACATCAAGTTCCAGAACCTCTCGTAGGTGGATACACCTAATTCCGTTCTCATCCGCGCGGTGTGGTTGTCGTGTGTTGACGTCACGCTTCCTTACAGTGCTGGCTCTATGCAGCCTCAACCTTGCACAGTAAGCTACATTCGCCGTACATGTTTAGACCGTTCCAGTGCCTGCAGCCAGCGGGCTCTCTTGCTCATCGTCTTCGTCTTCGTCCTCATCGTCGTCCTACAGTGCCGATGCTGCAACTTGCTACCGTAAGCCCGCGACATGTATATGAAGGCCGTGGGGTATGTCTTCGCCTGGTATATACGAGGAAGAGCTCACGGTGAGTCGAGCATGCTTCACACTCACACTTGACAGAGGTTGCTCTTATCTTCGAAGAAGTCACGAGCCTCGGATGACGAAGCTCCCGGCCTCGCATTGTAGCATTGATGGGACCGGATTTCAAGGCATATAAAGCTTGCAGTCGCGACCAAAGATTCATTGAAGTGCCTGAGTGAAATGAGCTGAAACTTGCGTAGTTTCGTGTACTGGGCCAAATCATGTGGTGCGCATGTCCTTTCGCGTGTACTACGGGGCCGCCTCTCCGTAGGGTAGATGCGGAACAGGTTGGCAACGCGCTCCACCATCTCCCAAAGGTGATAGTCCACCTTCTCGGGCACCTGCTGCTCCTGGGCTCTCCCTAGCACTCCTACTCCCGAGACCTTCTCTCCCTAAAACTTCACTTCCGGAGGGCAGACGGCCGAGAAAATCTGGCACAAGAAGCCTTGCTACAGACCCATTGCAGAATCCTGAAGCCGAGGTCACATCGACAACAAACTCGAGGGAGTGAGTGAGTGAGCGAGTGTCGAGCTCAGGTGCTCTCCGGCCCGCGGAAACGGGCCCTCTCGCCTTCCTTGCCCCTTGAGTTCAAAGCTCCGTGCCCCGCAATCCGAGCCTGGAATGAGGGGATCCATGGGCCCGCAAGCCGGGCGGCTCGGGTTGGAATCTGACACTTGGCAAAACAGCCCACTTTGCAGGAACAAAGCTCTTTCCTCGACGATAATGTAAAACCTAAAACTCCTGAACACAAACCCTAAAATCAAGTCAAGCCAATGCCCGCCTTCCCTCCCTCCCTCCGTGCCGCCCGAACCCCCGCCCTCCCTCCTCCCTCCCTCCTTCCCTCTCTCGTGGGCATGAGGAATCGCCTGATTGTTTATCAGGGCGAGCCCCGCATCCACTCCCCGTGCCTGTGTAGGCTGTAGGCAAGGGCCTTGAACTCTCTGCTTCTTCCATAGGGCATAAGGGGCGTCTGAAGCGCCCGGCCACCAGGGCCCCCAATGATTGTGGGGCTTTCGGGAGGACTGTGAAACACCGTACAAACCCGCTTTTGTTTCACCTCTATCTATCTCTCTCTCTCTCTCTCTCTCTCTCTCCGGCCCCTTGAGACTTCGATCTGTTCCAAAACCTCAAAGCCCTCCACCCCTGAAGCCAAGGCATTTACTTGTAGTTTATCCTGTACAAACCCCGGCCACGGCTCCCTTGCTCGACCCCTGCGTTGCGGTGCGTCGTCGAACTCGTGCAGAAAAGCCTCTCATCGAGTCTCCGCAGCGTAAACCTACGCTCGAAACTCAAGCCTCTACTCCCAACCTACAAATACTGCAGTTCATTTGAAGGGAACCCGTCGGAGCGGTCACGCTTTTTCAGGACGGAAACTCGCAGTGTGAAGAAACCGAGAAGTGTGGGTTGAAGTAGACCTCCACTCAGGATCATTTGGGGCTTAGAAACCCATCTAATATGTGTTTCGCTGCTGGCACAACGGACACCGGAACCTGTGCTAAACCGTGCAACTCAAAGCCGAAACACTAAACCTCAACATAAATTCATCATAGGCCGGAAAGAAGTCTGACAGGACAACTCCAAGATATAGGACACTCAACTCCTTCGCCGTAGCATAAGCGGGTTACACTACAAGATTTCCAAGGGTTTCGTGCTTTAGATGTTTTGCCGATTCACCTTGTCGCCGAAGTCTGGTATGTCCTTCTCCTCCCGGGGCCCTTGACCCTTTAAGATGGAGGGTCGGACGTCGAGATCACAAAAGGTCTCACCTTCGACATTGTAGCAGGAAACGTCACCTGAGTCATGTCTTCAGTTTGGCATGCTGCGGCTTCCGTTAGAAAGCAGTCACAGGTTTGGAGGCTGTGTCTGGAGTCCTTCTGACCCAGACAAACACGCAGCACCTATGCACATGGCGGTCCTGGTCCCAACCGTTTGACGGGTCACTACTTTGGCAGATGCAAAGAAAGAAAACAGCTGCTACTAGAATACCTTGCCACTGGCAGGGGGGCAGATCGCCACCTCTTGCACGTAGTTCTTGATTGCCTGGGTTCACTGCAGAATCGGGCAGAATGAACATTGCTTTCGGCCGCCTGGTGATTCAATATGAGATACCTACCTCGAACATCAAGTTTCAGGTGGGTTCCATGGGCTAATGCACCCGGACAGACCTTTCTGGCGGTGGCTCAAATCGCTGTTCGGCTCCGAGCCACCAAACCCCTGAAGCCCCCAAGATCCATCTCATCCCAACTCGCATCTATCCTTTCTTTGCATTCGTAAAGCCCGTGGCGCTCCATACACTAAAACTCTGATACAGCGGTTCTGATCTGCTCAAGCAAATAATACTGCGACAGCTTTGTACTGCAAGTAGGCCACCCCGTCTTCCTCCTACTCCGCCTACTTGTCATGTAATACTTGTACATGTACTACTTGTTCAACTTGTACCGCTTATACTACTTGTACTCTAGTAATACCACTAGCACCACTACTACTACTA